AAGAACATTTTTAATCAGAATATTGTGTTATTAATTTTGCATAAAGTCTAGAATATATACTAGACTAGACTATAGAATAGACTATAGACTAGACTATAGACTAGACTATAGACTAGACTATAGACTAGACTATAGACTAGACTATAGACTAGACTATAGACTAGACTATAGACTAGACTATAGACTAGACTATAGACTAGACTAATAGACTAGACTATAGACTAGACTATAGACTAGACTATAGACTAGACTATAGACTAGACTATAGACTAGACTATAGACTAGACTATAGACTAGACTATAGACTAGACTATAGACTAGACTATAGACTAGACTATAGACTAGACTATAGACTAGACTATAGACTAGACTATAGACTAGACTATAGACTAGACTATAGGACTAGATCTAGACTAGACTATAGACTAGACTATAGACTAGACTATAGACTAGACTATAGACTAGACTATAGACCTAGACTATAGACTAGACTATAGACTAGACTATAGACTAGACTATAGACTAGACTATAGACTAGACTATAGACTAGACTATAGACTAGACTATAGACTAGACTATAGACTAGGACTATAGGACTAGACTATAGACTAGACTATAGACTAGACTATAGACTAGACTATAGACTAGACTATAGGACTAGAACTATAGACTAGACTATAGACTAGACTATAGACTAGACTATAGACTAGACTATAGACTAGGACTATAGACTAGACTATAGACTAGACTATAGACTAGACTATAGACTAGACTATAGACTAGACTATAGACTAGACTATAGACTAGACTATAGACTAGACTATAGACTAGACTATAGACTAGACTATAGACTAGACTATAGACTAGACTATAGACTAGACTATAGACTAGACTATAGACTAGACTATAGACTAGACTATAGACTAGACTATAGACTAGACTATAGACTAGACTATAGACTAGACTAGACTAGACTATAGACTAGACTATAGACTAGACTATAGACTAGACTATAGACTAGACTATAGACTAGACTATAGACTAGACTATAGACTAGACTATAGACTAGACTATAGACTAGACTATAGACTAGACTATAGACTAGACTATAGACTAGACTATAGACTAGACTATAGACTAGACTATAGACTAGACTATAGACTAGACTATAGACTAGACTATAGACTAGACTATAGACTAGACTATAGACTAGACTATAGACTAGACTATAGACTAGACTATAGACTAGACTATAGACTAGACTATAGACTAGACTATAGACTAGACTATAGACTAGACTATAGACTAGACTATAGACTAGACTATAGACTAGACTATAGACTAGACTATAGACTAGACTATAGACTAGACTATAGACTAGACTATAGACTAGACTTTAGACTAGACTATAGACTAGACTATAGACTAGACTGTACACTAGACTATAGACTAGACTATAGAGTAGACTAGACTATAGACTAGACTGAAGACTAGACTATAGACTAGACTTTAGACTAGACTATAGACTAGACTATAGACTAGACTGTAGACTAGACTATAGACTAGACTATAGACTAGACTATAGACTAGACTATAGACTAGACTATAGACTAGACTATAGACTAGACTATAGACTAGACTATAGACTAGACTATAGACTACTATAGACTAGACTATAGACTAGACTATAGACTAGACTAGACTATAGACTAGACTATAGACTAGACTATAGACTAGACTAGACTATAGACTAGACTATAGACTAGACTAGACTATAGACTAGACTATAGACTAGACTATAGACTGGACTATAGACTAGACTATAGACTGGACTATAGACTAGACTATAGACTAGACTATAGACTAGACTATAGACTAGACTATAGACTAGACTATAGACTAGACTATAGACTAGACTATAGACTAGACTATAGACTAGACTATAGACTAGACTATAGACTAGACTATAGACTAGACTATATACTAGACTATAGACTAGACTATAGACTAGACTATAGACTAGACTATAGACTAGACTATAGACTAGCTATAGACTAGACTATAGACTAGACTATAGACTAGACTATAGACTAGATTATAGACTAGATTATAGACTAGACTATAGACTAGACTATAGACTAGACTATAGACTAGACTATAGACTAGACTACAGACTAGACTATAGACGAGACTATAGACTAGACTATGACTAGACTATAGACTAGACTATAGACTAGACTATAGACGAGACTATAGACTAGACTATGGACTAGACTATAGACTACACTATAGACTACACTATAGACTAGATTATAGACTAGACTATAGACTAGATTACAGACTAGATTATAGACTGGACTATAGACTGGAATATAGACTAGATTATAGACTAGACTATAGACTAGACTATAGACTAGACTAAAGACTAGACTATAGACTAGACTATAGACTAGACTATAGACTAGACTATAGACTAGACTATAGACTAGACTATAGACTAGACTATAGACTAGACTATAGACTAGACTATAGACTAGACTATAGACTAGACTATAGACTAGACTATAGACTAGACTATAGACTAGACTATAGACTAGACTATAGACTAGACTATAGACTAGACTATAGACTAGACTGTAGACTAGACTATAGACTAGACTATAGACTAGACTGTAGACTAGACTATAGGCTAGACTATAGACTAGACTGTAGACTAGACTATAGACTAGACTATAGACTAGACTATAGACTAGACTATAGACTAGACTATAGGCTAGACTATAGACTAGACTATAGACTAGACTATAGACTAGACTATAGACTAGACTATAGACTAGACTATAGACTAGACTATAGACTAGACTATAGACTAGACTATAGACTAGACTATAGACTAGACTTAGACTAGACTATAGACTAGACTATAGACTAGACTATAGACTAGACTATAGACTAGACTATAGACTAGACTATAGACTAGACTATAGACTAGACTATAGACTCGACTATGGACTAGACTATAGACTCGACTATGGACTAGACTATAGACTCGACTATGGACTAGACTATATGTATTAAGTATATAATTTAGGTGTTTTTATTATATTTCAGGTGGTCAACAGACTAGACTATAGACTAGACTATAGACTAGACTATAGACTAGACTATAGGCTAGACTATAGACTAGACTATAGACTAGACTATAGACTAGACTATAGACTAGACTATAGACTAGACTAGACTATAGACTAGACTATAGACTAGACTATAGACTAGACTATAGACTAGACTATAGACTAGACTATAGACTAGACTATAGACTAGACTATAGACTAGACTATAGACTATACTATAGAACTAGACTATAGACTAGACTATAGACTAGACTGTAGACTAGACTATAGACTAGACTAGACTAGACTTAGACTAGACATAGACTAGACTATAGACTAGACTTAGACTAGACTATAGACTAGACTATAGACCTATACTAGACTATAGACTAGACTATAGACTATACTATAGACTAGACTATAGACTAAACTATAGACTAGACTATAGACTAGACTATAGACTAGACTATAGACTAGACTTAGACTACTATAGACTAGACTATAGACTAGACTATAGACTAGACTATAGACTAACTATAGACTAACTATAGACTAGACTATAGACTAGACTATAGACTAGACTATAGACTAGACTATAGACTAGACTATAGACTAGACTATAGACTAGTATAGACGACTATAGACTAGACGATAGACTAGACTATAGACTAGACTATAGACTAGACTATAGACTAGACTATAGACTAGACTATAGACTAGAGTATAGACTCGACTATAGACTAGACTATAGACTAGACTATAGACTAGACTATAGACTAGACTATAGACTAGACTATAGACTAGACTAGACTATAGACTAGACTATAGACTAGACTATAGACTAGACTATAGACTATAGACTAGACTATAGACTAGACTATAGACTAGACTATAGACTAGACTATAGACTAGACTATAGACTAGACTATAGACTATAGACTATAGACTAGACTATAGACTAGACTATAGACTATAGACTATAGACTAGACTATAGACTAGACTATAGACTAGACTATAGACTAGACTATAGACTAGACTATAGACTAGACTATAGACTAGACTATAGACTAGACTATAGACTAGACTATAGACTAGACTATAGACTAGACTATAGACTAGACTATAGACTAGACTATAGACTAGACTATAGACTAGACTATAGACTAGACTATAGACTAGACTATAGACTAGACTATATAGACTAGACTATAGACTAGACTATAGACTAGACTATAGACTAGACTATAGACTAGACTATAGACTAGACTATAGACTAGACTATAGACTAGACTATAGACTAGACTATAGACTAGACTATAGACTAGACTATAGACTAGACTATAGACTAGACTATAGACTAGACTATAGACTAGACTATAGACTAGACTATAGACTAGACTATAGACTAGACTATAGACTAGACAATAGACTAGAGTATAGACTAGACTATAGACTAGGCTATAGACTCGACTATGGAGTAGACTATAGACTAGACTATATGTATTAAGTATATAATTTAGGTGTATTTATTATATTTCAGGTGGTCAACAGAAATGAAGACAGATTATGTAATGATTGAATGAAAGTATATCATCGGGTTTTATATTGTTTTACACATTTTAGGTTAAATAGTGTAAATATTGTATTATATATATTTTGTAAATATTCTTTTAAACTTATCTTATGTTTTAAACCAATTCTTTTCTATATAAATTTCATTATTTACTTTGCTTTAATCTGCACAACACTTGTACATTTTACTTTTCTAAAACATTTGGTTTCTCTATGGTTTTTAATGAATTAAAAACATATTAATATATATGGGAATTATATAATGATTATTAATTTATTTTTATTCTCTTTATCTCTCTTACAAATAACTTTAGATATTTTACGATCTTATCAGGGATATTTCAACACGTAAAAAACAACGTCAAACTGAGGTACGAGAGCCGACAAAAACCAAAACTCATTGCTGCCAATTGCTGTAATAAAACATCATTATTAAAAAAAACATATTTCTTTTTATTATTATTATTATTAATAATTTTTTAATTTAAAATTAAAATAAACACAATTTACTATATATTATTCATGAAAAATAAAACAAAAATAAATATTTTTTTTATTTGCAAAATTTTCCTTTTTTTAAATAAGTTTTTAGTTTTTTTTTTTTGTAAAATGTACCATGTACACCGTGAAAAAAAGTATTTCCACAGTTTTTAGTTGTTAATTTCCTTACTTTTTTAAAGAATAAACAAACAAAAATTTAACTAAAAGAACAAAAAAAAAAAAAAAACTATTATTAAAGTAATTAATTTGCAATAATTAAAATGCCTTGATTTTTATTATTATTATTATTCTTTTTTTAATAAATAATATTTGTATGTTAGAAATTCTCCTATTTATATGTATTAAGCTTGTTTTTTATATATACACACACATGATAAACAACTATATTTAAACAATAAAACAAAATAAATTTATTAATAAATTAAACAAAAAAAATAATAAAATTTTACGGCAATTAGTAACTGCAAAACTTTAATTAACAAACAAAATAAAAGTGAAATTATGTATTTATGAAATAAAACCACAACTTAAATGAAAACGATTGTAATGGTATGAAAATAAATGAACAAAATACATAGAAAACATAAAGAAAGCTTTTAGTCTCTTAAAAAATAAAACAAAAAACTCATAAAGTCAGTCATATTTAAACAAATTATATATCATTAAAACAGAAGATATTACAAAACGATGTAATAAAGGTTAACAGATAGTGTTTTTGTTAAAAAGTTATACCAACTAAACTATAGACTAGACTATAAACTACAACATAGACAACACTATAGACTAGACTACGGACTATACTATAGACTTGAATATAGCCTAGACTAAAGACTAGACTCTAGACTGGACTATAGATTAGACTATAGATTAAACTATCGACTAAACTATCGACTAGACTATCGAGTATTCCAAAACTGGACTATAGACTAGTTCATAGACAAGACTATAAACTGGACTATAAACTAGACTATAAACTGGACTATAGACTATACTATAGACTAGAATTTAGACTACACTATAGACTAGAGTATAGCCTAGACTAAAGACTAGACTATAGATTAGACTATAGACTAGACTATAGACTAGACTATAGACTAGACTATATACTAGATTATAGACTAGAATATAGACTAGATTATAGACTAGACTATAGACTAGACTATAGACTAGACTATAGACTAGACTATCGACTAGACTATAGACTAGACTATAGACTAGATTATAGACTAGACTATAGACTAGACTATAGACTAGACTATAGACTAGGCTATAGACTAGACTATAGACTAGACTATAGACTAGACTATAGACCAGACTATAGACTAGACTACAGACTACACTATAGAATAGACTATAGCCTATACTATAGACTAAACTATAGACTAGACTATAGCCCAAACTATAGACTATACTATAGACTACACTATAGACTAGAATATAGCCCAGACTAAAGACTATACTATAGACTAGACTATAAATTAGACTATAGACTAGATTATGAACTAGACTATGGACTAAACTATAGACTAGACTATAGACTACACTATAGGCTAAACTATAGCCTATAGACTAGTCTAAAGTCTAGACTATAGCTTATAGACTAGTCTATAGTCTAGTCTAGACTATAGGCTAAAATATATACTACACTATAGACAAGACTATATACTAGACTGTGGACTAGACTATAGACTAGACTATAGACTACACTATAGACTACACTACAAACTAGACTATAGTCTAGACTACAGACTACACTATAGAATAGACTATAGCCTATACTATAGACTAAACTATAGACTAGACGAAAGCCCAAACTATAGACTATACTATAGACTACACTATAGACTAGAATATAGCCTAGACTAAAGACTATACTATAGACTAGACTATAGACTATACTATAGACTAGACCATAGACTAGACTATAGACTAGACTAGACTATAGACTAGACTATAGACTAGACTATAGACTAGACTATAGGCTAGACTGCACTATAGACTAGACTATAGACTAGACTATAGACTAGACTATAGACTAGACTATAGACTAGACTATAGACTAGACTATAGACTAGACTATAGACTAGACTATAGACTAGACTATAGACTAGACTATAGACTAGACTATAGACTAGACTATAGACTAGACTATAGACTAGACTATAGACTAGACTATAGACTAGACTATAGACTAGACTATAGACTAGACTATAGACTAGACTATAGACTAGACTATAGACTAGACTATAGACTAGACTATAGACTAGACTATAGACTAGACTATAGACTAGACTATAGACTAGACTATAGACTAGACTATAGACTAGACTATAGACTAGACTATAGACTAGACTATAGACTAGACTATAGACTAGACTATAGACTAGACTATAGACTAGACTATAGACAATAGACTATAGACTAGACTATAGACTAGACTATAGACTAACTATAGACTAGACTATAGACTAGACTATAGACTAGACTATAGACTAGACTATAGACTAGACTATAGACTAGACTATAGACTAGACTATAGACTAGACTATAGACTAGACTATAGACTAGACTATAGACTAGACTATAGACTAGACTATAGACTAGTATAGACTAGACTATAGACTAGACTATAGACTTAAGACTACTAGACTAGACTATAGACTAGACTATAGACTAGACTATAGACTAGACTATAGACTAGATATAGACTAGACTATAGACTAGACTATAGACTAACATAGACTAGACTATAGACTAGACTATAGACTAGACTATAGACTAGACTATAGACTAGACTATAGACTAGGACTATAGACTAGACTATAGACTAGACTATAGACTAGACTATAGACTAGACTATAGACTCGACTATAGACTAGACTATAGACTAGACTATAGACTAGACTATAGACTAGACTATTAGACTAGACTACTAGACTAGACTAAGACTAGACTATAGACTAGACTATAGACTAGACTATAGACTAGACTATAGACTAGACTATAGACTAGACTATAGACTAGACTATAGACTAGACTATAGACTAGACTATAGACTAGACTATAGACTAGACTATAGACTAGACTAGACTTAGACTATAGACTAGACTATAGACTAGACTATAGACTAGACTATAGACTAGACTATAGACTAGACTATAGACTAGACTATAGACTAGACTATAGACTAGACTATAGACTAGACTATAGACTAGACTATAGACTAGACTATAGACTAGACTATAGACTAACTATAGACTAGACTATAGACTAGACTATAGACTAGACTATAGACTAGACTATAGACTAGACTATAGACTAGACTATAGACTAGACTATAGACTAGACTATAGACTAGACTATAGACTAGACTATAGAATAGACTATAGAATAGACTATAGACTAGACTATAGACTAGACTATAGAATAGACTATAGACTAGACTATAGACTAGACTATAGAATAGACTACAGATTAGACTATATACTAGACTGTACTATAGACTAAACTGCTGGACTGCAGACTAGACTATAAACTAAACTATAGACTGGACTATAGACTAGACTATATATATATCTTGAGCTGCACTGAATCCAAATCTGACCCTAGAACTTTCCAATCACATCAGTTTTTTGGGATATCATCGTTTTGGTCATATCTGGGACTTTATAACAGCGCTCATCACAGCTCAATTGTTTAGAAAAGTGTACTAGGGAACATTAAATTGAATTTTTATGATGTTTCAAAACCTAATTAGGCGTAAAGACCCTGCTCTAATATTACCATTAAAAAAACTCACTTTACCAACTGATCTGTTAACCTCTGTTATAAATATTTTGTGAATCATCCATAATAATAGTTATTTATATTGAAAAGTAATATACAATTTTTTTTTAATTTTTTTTTAAATAAATAAAAAAAACTCCAGATTATGAAACACACACAAAACAAGATCAATAACTATTTTTTTAATATTTAAAATTATTAGAAATTTCGACTCTTAGATGCTTTTACATAAATATGCCATGAAAACTTTAAATAATTGTTAACTGAGAGCTGTAAAAGGCGATTAATAAGAAATGTGTGACAGATCTCAAAAAAATATTTAAACCTTTCATTGCATATTTATTACTAAAACTGATGATGATGTAAACTACATATTAACAAATTTGAATACTATCCAATTTGTCTATTAAATTTCAATGAAATTTCAAAACCTTTTCAATACTAGTTGTGAAAATGTAATGTAATTTCAGAAAATTTCAAAAATATCTCAATTTGAAAATTCTGAACCTATAAATGGACATTTTCTAAAACTTTAAACACTTAAAATGATTGCAGATTTCAATATCAAAACCCTATTCTTTAATATTTTAAAATATCTGTCTGTCTGTTTTAACATTTAAGTCAATAATTAGTCAACCTTAATTACCACAAATACATTTCTTTATTAAGTTTATAATACGATTCTTATTAATAAGTTTTTAATAGAACATTATAAAAACAACAACAACATACATATATAAAACTAATACTTTTGAGGTTTTCTATTATTTATATATATATTTTTTTTAGCAAACAACTCATTGTTTATAAATCACCGAAGGTTGTTAAAAACCTCATTATATAAATAAAAAAACATACAGAAAAATATGTAAAAAGTAAATATTTCTTTTTTATATAAAAATATTCAATATGCAGCATCTTAATTTCCAGTTAAAATAACAAATAAATCAAGTAATTTAACAAAATTTAACAACAAAAACTAAATTGAAAGTTTATATTTAACACAGGATTTAAATTTTTAATTTTTTATGAAAATATATTTATATTTAAAAAATATTTTTAAATTTTAAAACCTGTGTTTAATGACAACTTCAAGTTTAGCAACTACTCTAAATTTGTTATACAGTTTGATTTTCAGTTAATCAAATTTTTCTTTGTTTTTAACCAAAATTTAAATAGTTTGTATTATTTTCAATAATTATTGTTTCGACAACCATAGTATAGAGAACTGATAAAA